TAATGTTCTGTGATATATCGTCATTAGCATTGGTTTCATATTAGAACAAACAGGACTCGTGTATAAGGTCCATAAAAGGCGCGCACCAAGCAAAGTCGACCCTTTTTTAATGGAGGGTGCTCTCGCGAGCCACCCCTCGTAGCGAGTACAACCACGGACTCCTTTCGACGTCCTCATTGGTCGAACGAGTTGTGCTTCTTTACTGGCCGTATACTGGCTTTTCGGTAACGCGAAACAAAGGGCTCGAGGGTGGTGATGGTGGTTACGCTGATCAACCCTCTACGTTACGTTCCTTTCCTTATAATTTACAGTCTAAATTGTATATGTGAGTTCTTGTGAGAGCGTGCGCGCGCCTGCGTTCAACAGAGTTTATTGAGAACACCGTGGCGAGTGTGTCACTTCGGGCTACGCCTTTTTAATGATTTATTATACGTACCGGTGAGACCTGGGCCAAAGTTCGACGTCTTCCTCGGCCTCGGGGCTCTTTCCTTCTCCTCCTCCTTCAACTTTCAGCTGCCTCTTCCCGATCGAGCGCTGCAGATGGAGGCGCAGATGTTACGTTTCAACCCTGTCACCGTTCGTAACCACGTAGTTCCTTTCACTACCATCACCATCATGGTATCCTGGTAGTCTCTTCGACGTGAAAGAAGAAAAGAAAGAAGAAGAAGAAAGAAAGAGAGAGAGAGAGAGAGAGAGAGAAAGAGAAAAAGATTTGCCTCGTTCCCGATTTTTGTCTATACGAGCCACCTTTACTGAGAGAGACAGCTCGTGGAATTCGAATTTCAAGGGTATTGTCGGCTACCTGCTCTCATTCTTTCCTAATCGATGTTTTTCTAGTCAATATCGAGAGTGGCCTGCATTGAATGAACCCATCTCTCCTCCTTCGTCCTCCCCTTTTCTATAACGGTGCTTAAAGATCCCCGAATTGACGGTATACTTAAAGATTACTACTCGTTACTATGGAACAGTAAATCTGTGTATGTGTGAGTGTGTATTTATGCCGATGTCTATATCTTAAAGGATAAGAAAATAGGAATAAAATAACACGCGATTTATATTGAAAATTACTAAATTAATAAGAGTATAGTGTTCTTTCATCGTAGGATAAGAGATTTCGATTACCAATCGAGCCTATTCGTTCGAACACGACAGACGAGACGATCGATTTCGATATCGGTCGATCGATCGAGAGAGATCGATATCGAAATCGATCGGCAAATCGATTCACTTGAAGGCCGCGAAGCGCGAATGCGACGAGCTCGTAATAAGGGCTGCTACCTGGTAATATCGATAGAGGAACGTAATCGACAACGTTTTACGAGCGAGAGTTCGTACCCTTTTTATTTCGTTCGAAATAAAGGAGAGCCTCCCAATAGGGAAAGATAGAAAGAGACCGACTCCTGAGACGGATTCCATGTAATGAAAAACATTTAATTGGCACGGATGTATATCGTAGAGCAGTTGGATATCGTCGTAGAATAGCCATGGTAATAGATGACCGGTTCGCAGGCACGTAAACTACCAGAGGCGAACTTCTGAAAATTTCACTTCAATAGCCAAGCTAAATTGCTTTCTGTATATTATAAGCAAGGATATTGGAATTCAGAGTATGCGTATCCTCTTCGTTCATCTAAAGTTTCGCATGAACAAAAAGAAACGCTCTCTCTCTCTCTCTCTCTCTCTCTTATTTTCTCTTTTTCTCTCTTTCTCTCTCTTACTTTCCGTGTACCAGAACGCCAATTATATAACAGTAATCACCGTCTTCTCTCTCTCCCTCTCTCTCTCTCTCTCTCTCTCTCTCTCTCTTTCTCTTTCTGTTTCTCTTTCTTCCTTTCTTTATTTCTGCAGTATATACGCGCATATAACACTATACGCCTCTTAAGCGATGGATCGTGACATTTAGTAAATCACAGCTCGATCTTTTAGCTCTGAAATCGTACGACCGCGAATAACAGTTCATATTATAATATATGAACGTGCTTCATAATGGAATACTACGCAGTAGATTGGTCATTCCGGATAGGACCTCGAACAAAATTTTTTTTTCTTCATATCTGACGAACGAACGAGCAGTCAATCTTTTCTACGATATATCTATATATCATTTTTTTTTGTCCTTCTCTAGGGGATTTTACGTGACGAATATTTGAGAGAGAGCGAATCTTTTTTCCTCTCTCTCCCACTCTCTCTCTCTCTCTCCTTCTCTCTCTTTTTCTCTCTCTCTTTCTTGTTCAATGAAAAAGTTACGGGGCAGTGGTCCACGAAGTTTGAAGAAACGAGCACGTCCCATCTCGCGATGTAAATAAAGTGTCCAGGGGATAGTAGGCGCACTTGGCCGACTGACACAACGACGTGGCAAATGAAAAATGCCGAGACGGACGATCAATGTAAATATATTCATGACGTGGGGTGGCTGGGCGGCCACGGGGAGGCCAGATACGTGTACACACATACACACACATATATATATGTATATATATATGTATATATATATATGTGTGTGTGCATCTATCTACGTATATATGTAGGGTTTTATAGGATGGGGCTCGGTGAGGACTCGATGGCACTTGGACGGCACATAATTCACTCTTTGGCAGCTCATTACAATTTAAAAAGGCCTTTGTCAGTGTATTACTCGTGATTCTCCTTACGAGCTCACAACTTGCTCTCGAACATGTCGGTGCTTGTGTACGCTTACAAGAGAAGAAATGAAAAAAGAAAGAAGAAAGAAGAAAGAAGAAAAAAGAAAAAAGGAAAAGTAAAGAAAAGAGAAAATAAGAAAAATAAAAAAAAAAGAAAAAGAAAGGAAAGAAAGAAAAGAAAAGAGGAAAGAAACCTCTAAAAGTATTCCATTCTACTCAAACTCGTTAGCAAGAACCATGACGGAGCAAGTTCCTATCTCGAAATTTATAAAGATATCGAAACTCGACATGTCCATTTAAATGCGATCTCTTACTCTCTGGTGAAAAATTTTGTGTTTAAAAAAAAAAAGCAAAGAGAAAAAGAATATAAATGACTTGTGTTAGATGTTAGTTTCAAAAAAAAATTAATAGATATTATGTACCCATGTGATAAGTGCCACGTTAATTGCAAATTCGATTAAGCGTTCTCTGTCAATGATAAAGAAAATCAAAAAAGTAAAAGCTAACGCTCGATCTTTTTTTTGTTCAACGATCCAACATCTCGGATATAACGTGAGTTGAATAAAGACAAGAGACTAATGCGACTGATCTCTGACGGGATTTCTAATTTAAGTCGTCCGATCAACGAGATACAACGAAGGAGAAATAAAACCGTTGGCACTTTCGAGCAATTACAGGCGTTGTTGCTTTTCTACCAAACGATTTTGATGAATGACGCGAGGAGAGCGACCAGTTCTCTATGTCGACACACACAATCACCGTTCTTCAAAAGTCACGATCGCGTTGGCGATCGACGGATGTCGAAAGTTCCGAGAAGAATCGACGTGTCGCGATCAATCCGTTCAAAGTTACGGGCTATAAGGAAAAAAATAATAATCATGATCAGGTCAAAAACAGGTCAGACGTACGTACATCTCTCTATACGTTTCACATATAATTATAATCAATGTGATTTTCGCAAGTCGTTAAAATTAGTACCGAATTTCTTTCTTTTTTTTTTTGCATAAAGAAATTAAATTACATTGAATGAGAACAAATATTATAAAGTTCAGAAATAATGAAAATTGTCGTACAACTAATTTGTCATCTTGTAATAACCATATATATATATATATATATATATATATATATATGGAGAGAGAGAGAGAGAGAGAGAGAGAGAGAGAAAGAGAGAGTGAGAGATAATATATAGGCTATTACATTATTAATATTCCAATCATCAGACGACAAGACATCAACCTTCTATAGAAAAAAAAAGAAGAAAGAAAAGAAGAAAGAGAAAAGAAAAAGAGAGAAAAAAAAATTCGATCATTAATCAAAGACATTCGACGTGATACTTTATTCGAGATACAATATCAAGAGTGGTTAATAATTCACGAAGAAAATCCAAGTGACCGATCGCGAATCTCGCAGCGCGTGACGTTTTCTAGAAGATGACCGGTGTTACGAAGGAAAGGGAGGAGACTCTAGAAAAAGAACGTTGAACCGTTCGAGTAAGTAGGTAAAGGAAAATGCAACTACTTTTCCCATGGGACAAGAAAAGAGAGCTAAGGCAGGGCACGAAATTGATATGTATTCCATGCCTTGCCGCGTCCAATCTATTGCGGGTCAAGCAGGCGGAATTTTAAACGCGATACCAGCCGAAAACTCCCTTCCTTTTCTCGCTCATCTTTTTCTACTCTTTCTCTCTCTCTCTCTCTCTCTCTCTCTCTCTCTCTCTTTTTCTTTATCTCTCTTTATCCAAGTCCCGATAGATCGTCCTTTGACGTATATGTGCATAACACACGTGTATATACACTTTTCGAATACATTCGAGGAGTATCGAGAGGCCAAGCCTCGATCGTTTCTAATACATTCTAAAAACTTACGAGCGCATAAAATACGAGATCCTATGTGTACACATTTTTATATCTATATATACATACATACGTACATACATACATACATACATACATACATACATACATATATATATGTGTGTGTAGTGACTCTTTGAACACATATGTATCTATTATATATACATATGTGTGTGTATGTATATATAGGAAAAAGAAAGAAGGAAAATATGAGAAAAAGCCAAGGGCCGGTAGCGACCACGATGTTAGACGAAGGAATGAATGGCACTGGTCATCGCTGGAAAATTGAATTTCGTCCCTGAGGGCCTCGCGGGATGAAGTATGCTGACAGTCGGAAAATTTGCGTTTAACCGTGCGCACGCGACTCGAGTGAAATACAAGAATTTCCTTTTCAGAATAGCTATCCTTCAATATCGAAAAGAATAATTTAAATTTATTCGACACTTCTATGTGTCTATGGTACTTAAAGAAAATAATAATAAAGTTGCTAGAATAAACTCACCATGCGGCACCCATCCGTGATGACATTTTCCGCAATAACGTAGATGACGTTTGCCAGGTGTAAAAGACTCGCAGGTACAGCCAGTGACGGTACATTTTATAGACTGTAAATAAATCAAAAATAAATGATTAACAATATGAAGGTTCGAAGGTTACGTTCGTTTTAATAATGATAGATTTTAAAGAATTTTTTTCTTTTCTTTTCACGTAAAAAATTAATTAATTATTGCCACTCAAACGGTTATAAACACTTTTTTTTTTTTCTTATTAATAATTCAAATAAAATTTGTCATTCAGATTATTGTTTATAATTCGACATTCTCTTTTATATTTTACAATTTTTATTTATTTTCTCGATTACAGGAGAATATGCCTGAACACAGTTTGACGCAGATTAAAGAATATTTGCCAAAGGGCAAGGAGATAAGAAAGAAACAAAAGAAAAAGGGTAGGAAGGTATGATATTTTTCGAATGACCGTTTGGCATAACGCCACCCTAGAGAAAGCTCGTAAGAGACGGCCTCGTCGGATTTTAAGGAACCGTGAATATTTTCCGCCCTTCGCTACGAAATTAACCCCTTGGGAGCTACCATCCAATCCTGGCCCCGGGCGAAAGGAAGTGCGAGCATTACTATCGGCATCGGTATCGCTTTATGTACCGAACGGTTAACTCTCTGCATTTTTATTTAAATATCTATAAAAGTGTCAAACTTGTTGATGCAAAAAGTGATCAGAAAAATTTGAATTTTGAACATTCTTTTTTTTCGATTTTCAATAATTTTCACACAAAGGTAATTATTATTAAGAAATATTAGTTTCAACACTTAAATCATTTTCATAATCGAATATCATTCTTCGAGGAAAAAAATATTTTTAATCTTTGTTGCTTCACCCGTTCATAAAATTCCAGATGAGTTCATAAAAAACGAATGGATCGATACAAAAACACCGAACGAAGACACCAGAGCTAAAAGTCTTTTGCAAACTCGCGTAAGGCGTTAATATAAAGACAAATGAAGCGACGCATACGCACCTTCCTTGGCCATGTGTCTTTATATAGACAGTATCCCATGGCACCGTGAAAGTTTACAGACTGGAAATATTCTGACATCGTTCGCTAGGAACGAGAACGTTTAAGATATCGACAAAATTTAACAGGCGACGAATTTTATTAGCTTCACCGCGGGTTATTTATTCGAAATGGCGACAGATTATATGGGCGATATTAACGTGTAGGGGAAAGAAAGACGCTCGTAAGCTAAATTTCGAAGGCAACATTGTGTGCGCACTATACACCAAACTTACCTCTGGTAGCTTTCTCGAATACACCTTCTGCCTGTTTCTTACATCAAACTTATATCACATATTCGAATATAACGAGCCTGATAACTTTCGTACCCCGAAGGTAACTCGACACCAAAAGACTCGAGCGGAATATAATTTTGAACATTTCTTCGAAACATTTCCGAACGATTAACTCTTCCTTCAGGGTGCATTATTTTTTATATATCAACCTATCTATCACGAGAGCTTATCGCCAAAGTAAATTGATACTTAAAACATTATCCCTGACGGAAAAATTAGTTTCGTTGATGTAAACAAAGGGAAAAAAAAGAAAGAAAATGCAAGAATAATTCATTTCTCACAATTTTCGATGCTTCACGATCTACCGATACTTCGATATGTTGAAATATTTGCGTATTTTTGAAAAAAAAAAAAAAAAAGAAAAAAAATTTCTTTTTTTTTTTAAATTAAGAGAAAAAAAGAAGAAAAACTCTCGAGTAATAGTAGTATTAGTAGTAGTAGTAATAGTAGTAGTGGTAGTAGTAGTAGACTGCTCATCGTTCTATCTGACTTTTCACACGGGATATCGCTTATATGATTTATCGTGCTAGTATACATAAATGGCGTGACGCCAATGTATTATATAGTTTCTCGAATTACACGGAAGACCGGAGAGTCGCGAGAGTCTCTTGCTACTTCGGAGCAAGTCTCAAGTAGTAGTGTCGACTACACCTTGCGTTGCTCCATTCCTTTTTCGTGCCTATACTCCATGAAGTATTATGTTTCGAGGAGCCACGGTTTCCTCCTCCTCCTCCTCCTCCTCTTCCTCCTCCTCTTCTCCCGACTGCTTCTTTGCATCCCCTTCGTACGCGTGGTAAACGCGCGAGCCTATAACGTGCAACACACAAGGCAATAACGCTTTTACGAGCTACGAAACATTTATTGCCGGTTATGACGCCACGCCGTTTTATCATCTCGCTTCTGCTTAATGCGGCCTCCTTAAGGCTGCTCACTACTCCTGCTTTTATAATGGTTTACGCCAACAAAGAATCCAAGCGTAATACTTGACCGATTTTTATCAACAAAAATTTATTTGAAAGATGAACATTTAAACGAGGAGTCGATTTTTTTTTTTTTTTTTTTTTTTTTTTTTACATTTTAGACAAAAAATCCTTTTCTTCGCGCATAAATTATTTTCGAAGAAGGAAAAAAAAGTGGACAGCATTTTTTAATGCGATTCTTTTTGTTTCTCAAAGAAAATAAAAGGTTCTTTTGAAAATTTGAAAAAGTCAACTCATCGTTTAAATCATTGTATTTACTATTCATTGTTAGCAATTGAAATCTGTAATGAAGAGAAAAATTTTCAGGATAAAATTTGAAGCGTCTTAGTTATATTAAAATTTTAAATTACTGAACGAATCTCATGGAAAATAATATTTTTAATTTATTACTTCTTTAATTTAATTTATAAACGAACGACAATGTTATCGCACGTACAAATTTTAAAAATAAAATATTTTTATATATTGGAAATATAATGTTATAATATAAAAATATCAGATAAGAATATAAGATAAATCGTAAAGAAAAATCTCGCGAAATTATTGATGAAAGTTGCCCACACGAGCGTTACACGCGCTTTTCATTGTGTATTTCGCGTGCAGTTTAAAGAAGACTCGCGGCACGCGTGCCGGAATTAGCGTTTGAACGGCGTAGCAGCCGGCCTTTTTGTTGTTCATTCTACACGGTCGTCAATCTGAAAGGGCGTCCGTATCGTCGTTCGATTTCGGCGATCGTGTGCTTTTAATGATCGATCGCCGTGTCCTAAAGATTCGCCGGTTCGATGAACAACCAGTATCGAAACTTTCAAAATTGTTCTTGAAAATTTCATACTACTGAGAATAGAATTCATTTCAATCGCACACACACACACACACACACACACACACACACACACACACACACACACACACACACACACATATATATATATATATTATTTATTTAGCTAGCGTAAATAGGCGTGAAAATTAAATTTGTTAATCCCAATCAATCTGTAAATAGAAATTACGCCAACATGAAACGCTCGGAAATCTTTCATTTCGTGTATATACTTGATATATATATATATATATATATATATATATATGCGCATGCGCATAACTACATGTAAATCGACTACGAAATAATACAATGTATTCAAATCCGATAATTAATTGTGCAAGCATAGCTTAGGCGGGTTACATGAGATTTTCATTCAATGACGCCGTGGCTATCGAATCGCTATTTACTAATTATTAATAATATCAAAACAATGGCCACCGTGTTACAAACATTATGAGAATAGTCCCGCATGTAATGATGACTATCTAAATTAACATCTTTTTCCACTGTTATCTGTCCTGCATTTGCATTTATCTTCATATACGATCGATCTCGCGTATGTTCTTTCTTAGAACTTACAGTTTTATAAATAATTTTTCACACAACACGGAAAATGTGAAATGGAGGTATAGTCTCATAAAAAAAAAAGAAAAAAAAAAGAGGAAAAGAAAAGAAAAATAGAAAAAAAATCGTAAATAAATATAGTTGATTTTTATCTTAGTTATAGATTATGATCGAAGGATAAATTAAAATCAACGAGTCGGAGCCTAAAGTAAAATTATTTTACTTATGGATTGGGAAGTCGAATTTTTAATGAATACTCATCTTAACTATACTCATTATTTTCATATCTGATCGGATTATCTTGCCACTCGAACGATACCAGGTACCGTCGAATGAAAGTTCGAAAATTCGACGGCCCTCGAGGACAACGATGCGATATGCTCGTTGTACAACGAGGGAAAGAGAAAGATATAGAGATGGAGAGAGAATCGCGAGTAAAGCTGTCGAGCGAGCTCATATGCTCTACGCGCGCTCGTGTTTAATGAACAGGGCTAATCTCCCGATTCGAAATGCACTGCTAACAGCGTATACACACCGACTCGTTCATCGTTGCAAATTAATTTGACCAGCGCGAATTAAACCTCAAGTATAAAGCTGGATACACTGAGTTTGTGCGTGCGCGCGAGCGCGCGGGAACAAACCAACCGACCGCCCGCCCGCCCGCCCGCTCGCCCGCTCGTCCGTCCGCTTGCACGTTCATGTACCTACGTGTTGGACTATGGAAGCTCATTAATGAGTTCGAGGATTTAGGCTCGCCTATGCGTTTCGCTCGGGATCTGCCCTCGAACCACCTACTACCATCCCACCCCTTCATCACCCGCCCGCCTCCACCCATCCTCCATCCCTTTTCGTAACCCGTTTGCACGAAACGGCCGTACCTTTTAGTTCGAGAACAGAGAGAAGATTGTGTACACGTAATCGTGTACGAGTTAAAAGATGACGTATATATATATATATAGTTGTTTAAAATAAAAGAAGAAGAATAAGAAAAAAAGAAATTTTAATTATCCTATCTCATTGGTTGTTGGTAAAATCATTAAAAAGGATTCCGACAATGAAAACAGAGAGAGAGAGAGAGAGAGAGAGAGAGAGAGAGAGAGAGAGATTTCTCGAGAGAGTTTAAAGAAATAATCTTTTTTTCTTAAAGACTTTTTTATTCTCTTTTTTATTCTTCATAAAAAGGGGTAGAATAAGATGGTATCAGAAATTCTACTTTTATTTAATTACCTGTATTAAAGTACGGCTTCCTCTTGAAAAGTTGTCTCGGAAATAATAACCGATAAGGAAGACTTATGATTTATTGCCATGATATTCGGGTAGAATTAACTAAAGGATATACCTAAGCAAATTACGTAAAATTGAAATCATCTAA